TAAGACTTGTGCTTAACCCATCGAATCCTCCACGTTTTTTGTATGCTTATCACACACGTGTTTATGTACACGCGATAATTTGGTAGATCGGTGCTAATCAGCGAGCGAATGTTGGAAACGACCGATGAGGGAAGGGACTGATATCCTCACAGGATTTTGGTGTGCAAGAGCAGAATGCCACCCGGAACGTGTGCGTTTCTTATTCCAGACAGAAAATCCAATTCGGGTAGAAGCATGAGAGATGGATGACACAAAACAGGAGGGATTATCTTTTACTCGTAGCAATGGTTTCCTGGGATACAAATGACAAGAAAACATTTCGGAAAACCATAAATAAATTTCAATGCCTGAACGAACATATGCTTCCTCGAGCGATCAAACGCATCAGCTCATTTCATCACTGTTTCGAAAATAGGCGAGTAATGTTTAAAGTTAATTTCCTGACATATATAAAGCCATAACAATTTAACAACCTCCGAATATAGCTCTGTCTTATCATTAGAACGGTTAAGACGAACAGCAGCGCTTGAGGACATTCTCGTGAATCAATTAACAGCAAATCAGTGATGACGAAAGGCGTTTTGGATGCGCTGGCGACAACATGTATTTGGCATAAGGAACAGTAATAGTTAACCCAGAACGGTAAAGTGCGGATTTTTCTCTGGTAAAATCGTGGAACATCCACAGCTTAGGGCATGACAACTGACCAAAATGAGTGACCTAAGCCGGACAACGGTCTTTCCAACGTTGAAGCTTTCCCGGCAGTTATAATTCTTCGAAGAACGCATGGATGACTTCTGCATTATCTCACAGTTGGCTGTCTGATGTCTACCGCAAGATGGTTACTCAAAGATGCTCTGTTTTACTATTTAAGCACAAAGCCCTTTGCCATAAGGAAGCCTCGGTATTCTCCAATATCAAATTAGTACGGCTGCCTCCGAACTGTTCTTCAGTATTGCAACTAATGGATCAGGGTGTGATTTGGTCTTTCAGGTGTTTGTTTCGGAAAGGCTTACTAGAATATGTTTTGTCTTTGATCGAAGGTGAGTAAGTTAGCATGAAAGCCGAAGGGGACATTCTCATTGACATGCACCTGGTCAAGAGAGCTTAGGTGTCTGTGCATCTGCATGTAGTGATCAGCGCTTTCATGAAAGCTGGGTTCAAATCCATATTGAGTCAGACGGTGATGCAGCCACCAGAGGATGAATTCAATCTGATTAAAGACCTTACTCACTATGTGTCTATTGATGAGCGTCTTTTTGGAGAAGAAATCGCCTGTTTGGAATTTGATGATGAAGAAGTGGGTTATTTAAAATCTTTGTATGGAGTCTCTTTTTAAGTCATTAGATGAACTCATGTCGAATAAAGCTATGCGTCACAAAAAGGACGATGTGTAGCAGTGAATGCGCTGGAATATATATCAATCAAAGGAGCACAGAAGTAACCAAATCAACCTAAGCTGTGTGCCTTGGCTAATACTCGGGTTTCCGGTGGNGAGATCCAAGCTGGGACAAACGACGATTTATGATTTTGCTGAAGGGGCATCATTGTAATCTGCAAAGGCGTTTTCTGCAGTTCTATGGTACACTCGAATATGGTCAGTTATGTTGCAGCGGTCACTAAAAAAACGATCGCGGTCAATCGCACTGACGTGCCACCTATAATCGCGATTGACATGAGTGTGCGGAATAAGAAGTAAGATCCAGGCGATAGATAACGGTCGTCGCACGGACGCGCCCGTGTGAATGAATGAATGATAATCGCACTGATCTTTGCTTTGGAGCATCGATGAAAGCAGAGAGATCACTGGTCAAAAGTCATTGTAATCCGCCCCCCTGACTGTTTGAACGAGAAACTATACCTTGTCTACAGCCGCGAGTCTTAGGCAGGCCCAGTGAACTTCGACTGCACATCACCACACGGATAGACTGGACGTGACAACAAGAACATCACAAAAAGTACAAGCCGGTAATCAGACAGTCCCGTGTCGGGTTGAGGGAATCCAAGTGCCGCGAATCGCGGAAAGTGATCCAATCAGATCGCAGAGAGGGTCAGAGGGAATTAACTTGTTTAAGGTCACGGGTGAGAGGGACCAGACAATGTGAAGCGATGGAGCAATCGCACTGCAGTTTATGGATTACGTTATGGAATCACTTGTTGAATTATTCCGTCCCTTATGTTTGACAACAATGGTCATAACGAATTTATCGATCGGTTTGAACTTACGCTAGCAACAACAAAAACGAACGAACTAATAAATGCCTGCAGACGCTACAGGTACACGTTTTTCAGCAGAAAATGGTGAATAGATTGCACAAGGAACAATCAGTTTGGAATATGAGAAAGAAATCAATTTACTGAGTGTAACCCATAACAGATATTTCTCTCATTTTAGATGACGTAATTTCCGTCGAATGCGACATTTTAATCCCTTGTTCTCACTGTGTTTGACCTGGTTCATCCTGGTTTTCCGCGAATGGGTTAATAATGATGTGATTATTATAGTTAGAAAAGTTTTATATTTTGGTGAACGCCATATGCTCAATTCTGTGTTTAGCCTAACATTGCAAAGGAATGGACGAATATCCAGAATTAATATGCGGTGATCGGGTTAGAAAACATTCCCCTGAAGAAAAGTAAGTAGTTTCGGGATAACTAGACATTTGAAACTGAAAAATGGCTAAATGGCGGATGCAATGTACTGATATTAAGCTGAGGACATCGTAAAAGATGTCCATGTCTTCAGTGCCTAAAGGATAGGCAGTACATAATCAAAAACACTGAGAACAAGTAACGGAAATAGCATACTATTCATCAATCTGGTTTATTTTATCACATAACTCTCAATCGATTTTTCATACTACTTAATAACATCTGCTACTGAATAGCACGCAGTTCCTGGAATTTACCCACTTTTCCGAATTATCGATGGGTGCGTTGTAGCAGGAGATTGTCTGTACAGCGTGATGAACCAATTCTTCAAGATAACGCCAATCAAGGAGACACGTGTTGCAGTCCCAATGTAATGGATCAGAGGCCAATAGTTTTTACCAATAAGAGGCCATGTAGTTCAAACACGAATCTTGTGATGCGGAGAAGACAAATGGCGATTGGTTTATGCTTTTTTAGTCAATGGTATTTCTTTTTACGTACTATTTTATCCAGTTGATTTTTTTCATAGATGAGTTGCTACCTCTTTGGCCTTCTTTCCGCTCATCGGTGAAGGTATATGTCGGCATATGATTCCCAGAGCGATTCAGTCAACGTCAACGTTTTACTATGGAAATTACTTACAAGCGGTTACGTTTATTGTCTCATAGGGTTTAAAACAAATGGATCAATTTGCGGTTCATAGGAAGATAAGGAATGTCCCTGGTTAGGGACCTCGGGGTGATCATAACCGATGGTTGGAGACACTGAGTGATATGGCTGAGTGTCGTAACCAGTGGCGTTCGTGCATCCTGTCAATTTCTCTGCAACATTAGTCCACTGAAATTGTAAATTTTCTCTTTGATTCTACTTTCAACCTTTCCTGTCCTTCTCCTATTGTTCATCCAAATAGGCAGCCAAAAGACAGCAACCAAAACGGGCGCACGATAGAGTATGATTATTGGTTTTAAAAACTAAACTAAACTGAACTGAACTTCGGACGTCGAAATTTAAGACTTAACAATGCTTCATCCAGTTTGTGCTTCAAAGAATCAATTGTGGGCGCAGAAACAGCGTGAGGTGGTAGACAACTTCGACTGGTGCACAATCTGAGGGCAAATAAACGATGCTGGCGTTATAGTCGACATTTTTGGAGCACTAATTTGAATGAGTGCCCCCCCCTGAGGTAAGTGTTGGGCGAAAAGTGTTTTGACTTGCGACTTCAATGGTGATTCCGATGCCTGATTATCGTACATCACCATTACTACAGAATTCTATCCACCTGATTCTTCAAATTTTTGCATTCCAGTAAAAGTTGCAAAACCCACTGTCACCAGGACCTACGGTTCACTCATGATAACCAGCAATTGAAGCCCTGACACTGGGAACGATGAGCTACACTAGCGTAGTAATGAGCGGAGCTGTTTATTACCGCATGATGGATTGAGGGGTTAAATAATCCAAAAGTTATGCACAAAGCTTCTTCTTGAGATTTTTCTTCTTTCCGAGACCATTTTTTGTCACTCATAATTCAGTCGAATCATACAACAATCAACTTGGTTTAAGTCTTGTTAAAGGTGGACAAATTTCCATCGATACTTCTGCTTTGACTAACGTAAAACATCGTTAGTTGTTACAATTTATTAAGATAGAATTATTCTGCTGGTGGCACAGGAAACGATCAGATATGATCCCGTCCGGGTCGGCGGGACGATCCCAATCAGATTAAGACGCACCGGGNCCGGGAGGATGATCTTATCTCGAGCAATACAATGATTGAAATAGCAAACAAATGTGCACTTACAGTCAATCAGAAGCGCGATGATCAAATAGGGTTTTGATTTCAAGTTTATCTGACAAAATTTGACCCCATATACAAATATACTGGTTCTAAACAGGTGCGTTCCGCTAATTGAGGAAAGTAGACATAAGAAACAAAAGGAAAAAAAGCATAGTGAAACGTTCTCATTGTTTTTTTCTAATTTCCAACTTTTCTGAGCGGGATTTAGGATGTTCCAGTTTACCAAACCTGCCCAGTGTCAATCTGAGGACTTGTACCGTGAATGGTCGTCGATAACAGTTGCCAGTTGGTTCTTGCTTTTGTCATCAGGTGGTTATTACAATGTTCTATTGTGCATCATTGTCCATGTTTGGTAGTAGAATGCAATATTTCATTCCAGGCAAGCAGTCATACCGAATAAGTTGATACGGACACACAATCAGTGTGTCGGATCGGGTTGTATCTTAACTGAGAAAATATTGATAATGAAAAGATTCAACAGACAGGAGGGAATAACAAAAAAGCAATCTCAAGTATTGTAATAAAGAATGCTATTTCTTTTGTGGGATTTTTAAGGCTCTATGGCTAAATTGTTCGAGCTGGAAGAAAAACGTCTGGTTTCCACCGTGGACTGCGCTCGTCGTGATAACGTGTCGATTGTATCCACCGCGAACTCCGGATCAATTTGGACTGTAACATCCCCACTATGTGGTCCAGGCACATGAATTCGAGTACGCCAACGACCGCCTGAGCCCAGTTCCTCATGCGGAGCAAATAGCACACGAATCTGTTCCAGGATAGAATCGTACGTATCATCAGCCAAATTTCTAAATTCATTAATAAACAATCGGTTTCGATTCCGTTCCATAGGCATAGATGCAGGAGCGGTATTTCGGGATCGATATTCACGTGTTTGTACACCATCTACTCGTCTTCTACCATTGCGTACGGTATCCGCAAAGTGATTTCCTTGTCCGCGTCGTCTTTGCCTGGGATTGTCACCACCACCGCGTGGCAGGATAGCATTTTGCTGTGGCCTACTCGGCAAATTTGTTGTAGGATTCAAACGAGACGGCAAACTGTTTCCAGTTCCCAAGGCAACCGGGAGTGATGTATTCCGATGAGATAGTACGGCACTGGCCTCCGGTTCGACTGCTTGCGATTGTGGGGTTTGTTCCATTAGACCATTGGATCCTTGATCATTGTTTGCATGCATCGCCCTGCTATCATCGCTGTGCGTCACTAATGCCCTGTTGTCACTGTCCACCAATCGCCTATCCGATGTGGTTTGAACCACAGGTGATAATTCTGTATCAATATTGTTTTCATCAGTATTGCGACGTTTCACACGGCCTGTAGAGTGTTCACTCTCATCACGATCTAATACTCGGTGAAGTTTGACTTCCTCCCGCGATTTCTGATCAAGCAAGTTCTCATTATGATTGTTCCTTTGCTCCCAAATCTCATGGGAATAGTTATTTGAATCATTTCGTGCATTTGTACCGGTTTTGTTTGGATAAAATGTCGGCACCTGATTCCCTGCACCGGTTCTCTCATAAGTCTCAAACAGGGGTTGGTTTTCTGTAGTATTCCAACTAATCACCACCTCATGAAATTGTCCAAAGTCTCCCCCGGCAGAAGCGTAGGCATCGGATTTTGTCCATCGCGATGCGTTCGAATCGCCAGCCATCATGCATATCTTTTCTGAGGGCCTAGTTATCTGTCTGGATGGAGAGGGAGGTATAAAATCGACCACTGATGAATCGGTTCTACGTATTGGGTTTTCAATATCTCTTGGAGGCAAATCTATGCGACAACAAATGGGTGACCTTTTGGGTGGTTGCTGTTTATCGAAAGAAGAACTGGTGCACTCACTTTCGTCCGTTGTCAGTACCTCTTCTATTTCCGTTATTTGAGTTTCTTCCGTTGAAATCGGTCGGAATGTATTGGTGATCACAGTCGGAACACTTGAAACCAGATCTGTCATATTCAGACTGTCAGATCCGATGACCATATTGGCGTCGACAGTTCTAGTTGCTAGAAACCGAGCATCAATAAATAGGGGATACTTAGCCTTGCTTGACATATTTTGGTATTCATATGACTTTGCACTCAGATGAATATTAGGCTTTGAAATTCTTTCCGTGGATTCATGTACTGGTGATAATCGATGTTTACAACAAACTTTTTCTACGGGGTTCAAATCCTCGATGCAAACCAACACATTCCCTTGCGCCCGTTCAGTCACTTGATCCGTTGCGGTAACCACTTCCGGGCTAAGATGAAAGAATGAGTTCAAGAGGTCCGGGATCGCATGAACTTCGGACACATCTTCTAATATGTTTTCAGTAAGTTCTACTTGGCAAGTTTTCAATGGATGCAATGGATTTTCTTGTCCGAGTGAAGCGTACAAACCGCCGCATATATTTGTATCTGATAGAAACGAATCATCTGAGTTATATGGTACATATTTTCTCAAATTAGCAATTGCATTTGAGAGTAAATTTGACGCTAAAATGACCTCATTTGCTATATTTCTTATGCCATCCAGTTTGGACAAGTTCTCATACCCTGAATCTCGATAGATTTGTGACAAGGTCGAAGGATTCGGAAAATCTGGTGCATCTCCATCAATAAACATTCCTCGACCCACTTCTACATCGCTGCTTGTCAAATGAGTTGGATATAGCGATTTTACAGAATCCGTTGTTAACAATGAAGATTTCATATGAATCTGCCCTCCTTGATCAGGCTGGGAAGTATAAATAGCACTGGGATATTCGTTTGTCGAATTTTTGTCTCCATCTTCTGGGATTTTTATCCTGAAACTTTGCTTTTCTTGAAAAATAGCAGAGCCCGTGTCCACATTTAGTTGACCGTTTAAATCAGGTGATTCCATTTGGACACAAAAACAGTTTGTGAGTTTCTCAAACAGCTTCGATCGAGACCTCCTGTGATCCGTGTTGGTTGTCTTTTTTTCGCCATTATTTCGTCTCGAGTTGGAAAGCTCATAACTTAAGGACGGAGATCGTCGAACCGGTCCCGTATTGTGTTCATGTTTAACCCCCGAATGGGATAAATGTGCCTTAAGTCGAATTCCTTGTAGAGCTGTTCGCAACTTGTCCTCCATCCAAATGTATTTTTTCACCTTAGGTTTATTTATTTTGATAGGACCCCCTAAGATACTTCCATTTCAAAGATCCAGATGAATACGCGTGACTGTTACGGTTAAGGTCACAGTTTAAAATTGTGTCACGTGAGAACAGTTTTGTCGTTCATGGATCAACGTAGTAAGACACAGGTCCGTGTGTATAGTTAGTGCAACATTCCATTTGCTTAATCGTGTTGAGACCGAGTTGCAGTGGTTATTTATGCCCCATGAATAAATCCAATATATTTCGAAAGGTGTATTAAAACATAAGCGACTGAAATGAAAGGTCCGCTCAGTGGTTTGTTACACTGGATTGGTGAGGTGACCACCGGGCGAAAACATTGTGTGAGCATAATTGTTACAGGCAGGTTAGATAAACTTGATTGACGTAGAAGGTGATCATAGGCATGAAAATTTTACCAAATACGTTAACCTTCGAAGCTACCAAGGACGGTATGTATGTTTGTATTATCAATAAATTGAGGTTTTCATGAAAGATTCAAAGACAGAGAAAGTGTTTTTTATTAGGTTATTCTATTTCAAGATGGAGTGAATGGATACTCAACTGGTATTTTTTTGATATAATGATCAAACAGCCAAATAAATTGTCTGTGAGATTGTTTTCCCTAATGAACACTTAACAGGTCGGAAAATTTAATTTTCTCCAAACCGAAAATACGTTCAAATTTTACCGAATTCCGTTAGCGTAATGAACGATTTACTTGATGTGTCCCATGCTGTTAGGTAAAAAATGTATTGCTTTTCCTGTTCTTCGCAGTCTGTTTTTACTAACTTTCATCTTATACACGTAAATCCCCCTTTCAGCATTGTGTATGGTA